TTCATAAAAAAAATCTTTGTCACAACTATTCGAACAAAAATCAATTTATCAATGCTTACATACAGTTCAGTTATATTTATTCTCATGCTTGTCATATCTTAAAGTCACGGGACCAAACCAATTGCTTTTACTACATTGCACTTCTTACATTTTTTTTTTTTTTTCAAACCCTAAGTTTTATATCTGCGAAGACAAAACTAGCTAATGTCTTTACATAGTTCTGTCTCATCATCAATTGTTGAATCATTAGATGTTAGTGGTTTGTTCATCTCCAAAGTCGCTATAATCAGGTTTTTAAAACCTTGGATCTAATGTAAACGACACTAATCCTAAATGAACTGATAAATAAACAACAGAAAGTATCCGAGTTTTTCAAAGAAACCGAATATTATTCTATCTTGTTAGCAAAATATATATTTTAATTTGAAACATTTTTAAAGTATATGTGGCTTTGATTAGATTTTTTTAGAATTTTTCAGAAACGCCACAAAAATACCGTCATTTTAATTTTTTTTCAAAAATGCCACTAGTATTATATTATTTATTCAAAATATCATTTATGTTGGAGATAACTATGTTATTTAGAGTTTAGTTTTTGGGTTAAGAGTTTGTTAGGGTCAAAAACATTTTTCAAAGTTTAGAATTAGGAAATTTAAAAATTTTTTAATTTGTGGCATTTTTTTAAAACGAATAATTCATTGTGGTATTTTTGCAAAATGAAATTTCAAAATGATCTTTTTTTTTATTTTTTTAAGTTGCGGTTTGTTGGTATATAAAAATGCAATCGAGTCGAATCAAATTTTTAAAATTTTTTATTTATTTCGATTGCAATCGGTGAAAACCTGATTGGATAGAAATTAGTCATGGTTAATATTCACATCCCATATATTGGATTAAAATTTAAAACTATATTAGATATAGCATAAAGAAATAAATTACTGTACTTATAAGTGACTATATATGTAGATAATAGAATCAGTTCCATTACATAAAATCACAATAATCAATCAAAGTTTAGCTATATATAATTACTTTTTAAAGGATTTTAGCATATATAACGAGAGCAGCATTATTTGTTTAATTGGTAATATTCAAAATCTAATTAAATTACTTAAAAGGAACATTACTTAAAAGGAACATTAGTATAATGATCTCTGTTTCCATCTGGTACTACTGGATTCCACATATCCCACAAAGCATTGTTTGGAATCGTCCCTGCAGGAATCATGTTCATCGCTAACGCCGCTTGCGTTTGAGGCGTTAGCGCCGCTGTAGTCGCAGCCGCAACCAATTGCAACGCGTTTGCGTTTGCGTTTTGTTGTTGACTATGGTGAAACTGTTGAGCTATTTGATAGTATTGGTGATTGATGTTACCTCCATCAGATATTTGGTAGTTAACAAGTCTTTGAAGATCATCAACAATTGCGGTTTCATCATCTTCTTGATTACTTGTAGAGATTATCGGTGTGTTGCTTGCACCATAAGGCATTGGACGGTAAATATTTTGATTGGCTAAAGCTATGGTAACGTCAGAGTTACTGTTTGTGGTGGTTGTGGTGCTTCCATCACCGGAATATTCGGCGGAGAGCTTCTCGAGATTGTTGTTAAGGTTGTTGTCGGAATGAGTAGAGGTTGATGAATGGTGGTGTTGTTGTTGTCTTAAGACCAAGCGAGATGATGATGAGTTATGGTTATGGTTATGATGTCTTGTGGAGAGTGAACGTGGTAAAGATGGATGATCTTCTACTCCTGGCCTCTTGTACACTCGGCACAATGATATTTCAGCCTATGATAAACACATGAACACATTGATTAGAGACTTGAGATATACATATATATTAACAAAATATATTCAATATAGGTTAACAAACATTTATATAAAATTCATATTTGATGCAAAATATAAAGGAAGAGATGATTTTGAAAGAAAAAAGATCACAAACTAGCTATATGAATTCCTTAATAACTATTAAAGAAATTTGTGACGATTTAACTTTGAATATTTCATATTGTTGACAAAAGAACAAAAATTAGATGACATGGGTAGACTATTGTCATTTTGCATCAAATTCGCGTGTATATATATATATTTGTTTCTTCAATATACAATACGCGATTCGAATGGTAGTCACTAGCTAACACAAACTATTATTGTATGTCATGGTCAAGTACCTGTACATATATTAGGTTGATTACATTTTCTCTATATCTCTAATCAAGTGTTTTCACTATAATGCTAATTGGATGTGTAAAACATATATAGACATATTGCGGTATATTAAGCATTTTCACTAGATATAGTGCAATTGGATGTGTAATACATAAATTCAGATTTGTAAACTTATGTCAAGGCTGGTGTTTCAGCTACCTAATAAGGACTAATGCATACATCATTCACATAATTTGTATGGTTTCATCAGTGACAAAATAGAATATGGAACAAACAAAAAAATAATGTATTTATCGATCGGTCCGCCACTAAATACATTATTTTTTGGGTTTGCTCCATATACATCACCATGTATAGATTTTAGTTATAGTATTATATTGACATTCATATAAGATTTTTTATTTTTATTTTAAGTTGGGCAACTTAATTAAATATAAGACATGAGTGTGAGAAAGAGCAGGAACAATGTGATAAAATTGAAAGAACACTAATTAAGTCTCTGCTATACACATAGATGTGTGAATGTCGAATGTGATACTTGTGTGTATGTATATGTATGTAGCTATCTCTATTAATGCCTTCTACTATACATATGGGCCATGGCTAGTAATTTAAAGAGTTCATGCGTATGGCATGAACATTTTCTGGATTTATGCGCAAACGCCGCCTTACATTTAGTTCCTTCACAAACATTTGGGATCTTTTCAAATCAATTCCAATTTTGA